TTCAAAAATCAATAATTATATCTAAGGCGACTCATGGCTTGTCTTCCACCTAGGAAGTCAGGGTTCGATTCCCAGGCAATCTCGTTTCACAGGGATAATACAACCCCTGTAAGGAGTTCGAATCCCTATCCCCATCCTAATTCCTTCCAAATTCTAACCACAGTGTAGAGAGGCAGGAGCTCATTGAAGAGGATCGTAAGAGGTTCTACCTGGCTGTTCACTGTGACTTCCGGACTGCAGACCACTAATACTGTGGTTCGAAATGTAGTTTGATAGATTATTCAGAAACACGTCTACGAAAGTTTGTTGGCTTAGAACAACGTATTTCGCATAACTGTCAATTTAGGTAAATTTAAAAATTGAAGTAATTGACCAAATTGCGACTGCGCAGTCTGCTATAATTTTTTTCATGCTATAAAAAGCTACAAAAACAATCAATAAAATAAAGTTTAAAATTTAGTTTTCATGGTATAATTTCATTGTTGTATCAATAAATTTCAAAAAGTCCCTCTTCAAGATCTGGCATACAGCAGTTTTGTCAAGATTTTTAAAAAAGTTGCCTAAATTTAAGAGAGCCAGGGAAACGTAAACTTCCGAACACCAGCATTAAAGTGAATGGAGTCGTATAGTTCTGATATTGAGGGATAAATTGTATTGAGAAATAGGTGTGGTGTTGCAATAGGAAGTTAAGCGGAAATTTAAGTTTGGCTATTGAATTAATATCCGAAATATACTGATTTATAAATTTTTTATGCTCGCAAAACGTTAAAAGAATGCAAATACATTTCTCAACTAATTTTAAGCATTAAGGTTCTTGTCAGTTGCCTCCAAAAATTATTCTCGATTATCCAATTGTCCAACTTTCTTTTTGTTGACTTGTTTACAAAGTTTTTCAGGTTTCTGTCGGTAGTTTTGGGTTATACAAGACTGATCTACTGATTTTGGGGTACTAAATTGAATAAATCTTCTCAAATCTATCTTAGTCTTTGAACGGCATTAACACACTAAACATTACGTGGAAAATTTACAGCTCGAAGACGCATGGACACTGTATTTGCTACAGACATCGGTGTGCATTATAGATTCAAATTTTAACATCCGTGTAATACAATATAGGGAAACAAATTGAAAATATCTATTCCGTATACACTTACATATTACCCAAACAAAATTTAAATATTTTTTGAGCTATCGTGCACGATATTTCAAACCTCCTAAAGCGTTTCAATACACGAGAGAGAGGGGACTGGTTAAGGCAGTCCGTTGGTGCTGGTCATGTAGAAAGAGTAAAAACTGTACAAGGCCATTAAATGTAAGAAATGAAATTCTTAATTTCAATGCTTAAGGAACGTAGAAGAGTAACTGAAATCGAAAATTATGGTGTTAAGAGCAAACTGAATTAAAAAGATGAAAATCTTGAACTTGCCAACATTTTTAAATGAAACTGAATAAATAGCACAGGAAGCTCGTAAATTAAGAAAGTTCTGTTGCAAGAGAAGAGCATAAAACTACTGTGTAAAGATAATTTACTTCATATTATGAAATGGACCTTTACCCATTGAATAAAAGTAAAATTAGTCCCAGATGCTTAGCTATTACTTCTTTGCTCAATGATTTTTGTGTGGTTACATTTAGCAACCGAGATGTGATTTAAATGTACTTAAGTTTATCACGAAAATAGCTACTAATCTATTCTCTTGCACATATCTTCAATACAGGGTTAGTTTCTTCATACTTCATAAAAAAACGTACTAGCAATTGTTTTTATATAAACGTTTTTATATAAACTTATTAGTGATTGCAGGGAAGCCAAAGCAGATCTGTCGTTTCAATAGACATTTCATATTAATAATTCTAATCAAAGAAAAGAAAACTGAGACATTTAAAAGTATTACATACAGCTTCTTGGTGCCAACATTGGGTTATGGGCAAATAATTTACCTTTAAACAATATTCCTTATCATGAATTCTAATGCTCTTTATATCCTGTCTTACAAAGTAATAAATTAAGATTTACAGCACAAAACGTACGTTTTTAGCGCAATTTTTCTGAAATAAATTTCTATGCACTGCTGACTATACTTAGTCAGTTTACGATAATTAAAATATTGAATTCATTTTAAAGCAAAGAAATCTGAAAAAAACTCGCATAATGTTGAATCCTCCATAAAGGCAGTTGCAAGAGTGCGGTGACTTTTGCCATTTTCACTCGGTGAGATCCCGTAACTCTAATGTTTTTGTAAAATTTTCGCTTGCAAATGCATCAAAGCAAGAATATTGCCGGGAATTATCTAAACCTTCTTTCAAACTCTAAAAAGTTACAAAATAAATTAAGTCTTTTCATCTACGAAGTTGCTGATGCAGTGGAAAAATTAGATAAAGATAGCAATGTGCAGTGCAGTGTAGTGTTAGTGAAATAAAAATTGCCTAAAATCTCCAATTACGCATGTCGGCAAATAGAGCATGCATGAAAATGTCTCGTGGAAAGTGCTTTCGTAGGATGGAATGTAGCAAAATTGAAGTAGTTATATAAAGTATATAGATGATTCTTGTTTTCAGTAACGGTAACGGTGGTAGTGGAATGCTGTAGTCATAGTGGGTAACGTAACGTAAAAGTATTATATAAAGCATATAAAAGTAAAACCAAAATTAACCTAGACATGTGTATATAGCAAACGTTTCATTTTATTTGTACAACAATTATTTTTAGTAGAATTTCGAAAGCGAAATTTTAAATCAACACAAGGAAAAGGAATACTTCATTAAGGTAAGGTAATATTTAGAACGAGGTTACCGAATGCGAGGGTATGTTTGTTAAACTATTTTAAGACCCAAAGGTATATTTGCAATATCATGCAAGGTTTCTCTACCATGTGGTAATAAAGAACTTTGTTTCCAGGTCAAAGTTAGATGTAAAGGGAGAACTGCAGCACCAACTCTGCAGTACATCAGCAAAGCAGAAAAGTTTTCGTCGATGGCAATAGCTTCCTCGCCTGGAGCAGCAGTGCGACCTCCCAGCATCGAATGATCACGGCCCTGAAACCTCCCCTAGCGCAAACTCAAATAGAGGACAGGAGCTGACCAGCGGAAGTGTTCTTGTGTTGGGAGTTCACGTCCCTTCAAACCTCACCTTGAAGAAACGCGGATCTGTCATTTCGATGAAATGGTGAGTACTCTAAAACTAGTAATTGAAATTACTCATAAACTGTTAAAAGGTCAAAAATAAAATTAGAAACCGCACAGAAAATTTTCTAATAGCTAACGGTTCTATGAAAGACAAAAGCGTGCTAAGTTATTGTTTCATATACTGGCATCTCTCTAAGTTTTGATTACGACAGTTTTTTCATTCGGTTAACGGTGACTGTGAAGAACACACGCAGTTACCACATAGTACAGTCAGAAGTGGAGTTTGCTGTCAAATACATGTGAAGGTTTGACGGACTTTTGCTATATTTGATAATAAAAATCTACCAGTAAGTAGTGATATTTACTTATAGAGTTCAAAATAGTTAGTAATTAGATTTTGCAAAGCGAAATGTAAGATTATTTTATGAACCTCGATTTATTAATTTATTAGAGGCAGTATAGATGGAAAATGTGGGAGGCGAGACATAACGGTAAAATTAAGAAGGAACTGTATTTGTCAAATTTGGAGACGGTGAAGTCATTCGAGGTGTCCTGGTGTACACAAACTTAAAATAATTCAACTGAATAATTTTAAAACTGATAAATGCGTCACAATCTCCACACTCATAAAAGTACTCATCACTTCCACATCGATTTACTCCCAAACTACAGGTATAAAAAATATTTGATGTACTGAAGTCAGTTTTGTATTTGACAAATTTAAAAGCAATGGCTAAGACATAAGATACGAAAAATGACATGGCAGTGTTCCAGTGGTTCTCATTAGAATAGCAAAATTGTGCCGAAGTGAATGAAAGTATGAGACTAAAAATATACAACAGTGTCAATTTGTAAACTTGTACGCCGCTTTCGGACTGTTAATTCGTCACGCAGTGACAAACGCGTGGGAAACCTTTTCATGTCACTTTCGTACAATGAAAGCTCTGCCAATGCACTGCCCTTTTATAGCTTTTGTACACAATACTACTGCTGTCTGTTTATTTGCAGATTTCCGTCTGAAGAATTTTGTCACCTCAGTGTATATTAATTTAGACATTCTATTGGTTTTAGTTCTGGTCTCTTAGTTTTGACGAAGGTGGAAAGTTGTTTTTTTGTATGATTTAACAAGCGTTTCGAGAGTACGGATGTGGCTTTTCATTAATTCACACCCAAACGACAGAAAATTATTTAAGTCGGTCACGTTCCTCAAACCATGGCAATATTTATAGTGAGTACTGATAGTTAATATTAAATTGTTAATCCGGTCAAATATTGATTTAAAATTTTGCACCTTGCGAGTTATTTTTTTTCTGGCAAAAATTCTTTCCCAAATGTAAAAAGTATTCATAAACAATACTTCTTACACGCATTTAAATAACATTTTAAAGTAGGCGCCGCACCTAATTTCAACTATGAAGCTCTACTAGTGTGTTCAGTTGCAAAAATAGATTTTCATCCTCCATATGCCCTAGAATTTAGGAACATTTAAGAATGAGCCTATACTTGGTAAAGATCTTGAAGAGTTTTTTATAATGTGTTGCAATGGTATACGTTCAACCAACGTAAATTAATATTGGTTCTTTTAACGTAAAAATATTTTTCATCGCAATATCTGTGATCATAAATTGTGGAGAAAAAATAAATATATACAGAACTGCATTTATAGAAATATTTGGTTTAAGCAGCTAGATTAGGTTGTTTGGATTAGTTGGAAGCACGAATAGGAGTTTCAGAAATATAATTGAATAAAAACAAAATATTGGTATAATAGTAGCTACGTTTTTAAAATATTAAGATATTTACACATGAGAAATGCACTGGCAGACTCAACTGTAAATTGCAGAATATTGACCTCTAAATTATTTTTGTTTCAGAAAGAGTTCGCAGCAGGGGCGTGGAACCATGCTGTGAAGAGGTGCTGAGTAATCTACTTAAATGGATCAGATATTAGTGGAATTTGTATTAAGCAGATGTTTTCATTGTATAATACATGTTGCAGGTTTAAAGATATCAAACTAGATATGTTAATTTTAATAGGAAGGTATTGAGGAACTAAACATAAATGGAAATATTGCTCATTTTTTGCCATTTTACGGATAGCGTTTTCGTCCGAAACGTATGAACATATCCAAGCAATGTAAAAGCGCTAATAAAAAAGCAATTACTCTAAATTCATAATTATGTACCTGGTGCACCAGATAGATTTTTGATTGAGAAAAGGGTTTCAGAATCCAAAAATTGAAACTTTCGTATATTGTGATAAATTTTATTTAATTTTGAGCATTTGTAACGCTTTGTAAATTGTGATAATATTGAACAATTAAAGCTGATAAATTGTGTAATAGCGTTGTAAAATAGTAAATTAAGATTGTAAAACTGTAATTTTGTTGTATTAAGATCTCTCATAAGAAAAACCTGGGGTCTGTTAGACCATGTGTAAAATTGACTCCATTTCGAAAGTATTTCAAAATACGTCCGCTCCTAAAGAATAACAATGTTCCTTTCACCACCAAATAAAATGTTTCTTGAATCTGGGGGCGAAACGATTTAACTTTTCTCATCACTAGAGTTAATTAAAATAATAGAATAATTGAAATTCTTTACCTTGACATTTTTCTAAGTAAGTGTTACGATTACTGAAAGCTGAAGTGTATCAATTGAACTTCGAATTTTTTTTTTTTGGACACTGTCCACTCATTTTTTCGAAGTTTAAAATATATAGAGGCAAGATATATCGTATATTTGAAATGCATAAAAATGGACAAAATCGCACAGGAGTTACATTTACAAGCATGCTCGCAATGCTTTTGAGTGGTATCAGGCCAGTACGATCACACGGTGTATGTGTATTTCACAATACTAAGTGCATTGTGAATGGACGCATTGATTCCTATACCGGAGTTTTCATGAATTTCAAGAAAAAAGATTAAATTTGAAATTTGGTTTGAAATGAGATCCAGTTGATTCGGTTGATTGGTTTCAAAGGTAGCAACTATTCAAATATTTGGAGAACTTAATCTACTAAAATTCATTTCGAACAGTTTGAACAGCATGTAATTAAAATATTTTTAACAAATTTCGCTTATCTTTCTCTGCAGTCTGGAAGATAAGGCATAGATGACTTCCTGCGTGCTCCAGTCGCTAAATTTACGGGAAAGGTGTACAGGAAAGCGCAGCTTGGTAGTATTTTGTGGAAGAGTCACAATTGAGAGAACTCTACCATAGTAACCTCAGTAACCGCAGTTGATATAATAGAGCGAAGTGAAACTGGTTAACACTACGAGTTAGCCATTAACCTCTGCATATTTTGAACAATCAATAGTTGGATTCTCTGCGTTCATGAAGGTTCCTAAAATATGAGATTTATAGAACATGAATGTCAATACTCTCATACCCTTTTGTTGTAAAACTTTTCAAATCGGCCACTTTTCAATTTGGTAAAACCACACTAACAACTAGCATAATACTAACATCGCCTGTATCTTTGTAATCGTCCAATCCATGAATCTTATTTTACTTTTGTGTAGAGGAATGTAACCATCACCCATTTAATGCACCCGAATTTTTTTCAATCTATTAACGTGACATTTTTAGAATTGAGAGTGAAATTCGGGAACTAGGGAAGAAAAATGTTAAATTGTTTTTATGTCCAAGTTTTTCTAAAGTCTTTACAATTTCTCTCGCAAAAATTCATGGCCTGCTCCACCTGTATCGATAGTAAGAAAGTTTACTTTTTTCGTGATGAATAAACAATTCTAAATTAACAAACAAATATTGTAACCATTTGGAATACAAATAAAAACATGGAAACATTTAAATCTTAATTGGTTCGAATCCCACGTTAGACATGGAGTAATTGTAATTATTCTTTCCTACCCACACATTTAAAATCACATTACCACTTACAATCGCATTTGAAAACAGGACTGATATAAGAGTACAAGCTGCTTTCAATATTCACGTGTTACACGAGTAAAATATTAGGTTTATTGAAGGGTTTGTTAATGTCATTCTTCTGAAGTGATACTTTTCTTCAAACGATATTGCATTCAAGAAAGGTTTTCAAAAAGTTATGAGATCTTTATTTTAATATTTGACGGTTTTCTTACATTTATTCCTGGTTTCGATACTTTGGATTTGGAATTAAACCCGATTGGGAATAATTTATCAGACCCTCGACAAGAAAGGTAACCGTATTTCATAGTAAAAGTTAATTAAAATCAAACGACCATGAACGTCCATTGCCTTTAGAAAATCTATCGTAAATTTTTCATTATTAACAAAATCGGGAACCTACTTAATGTTTTATAAATTCTACTGACAGACAAATCTACAACTAATTCACTAGTAATTTCCCTTTCAATATGTTTGAAGTTTCATTGAATATCCACGAGTTCCCATATGTGCGAGAAAGCCTTAGCACCATGAAGGCCACCATGTTACGTAGTCAGAAGGTAATCAAAATAACACAACGAGCTTGCTGTCTTTTACAACACACGCTTTGTCTTTAAAGGCGCTCATTACAATAACACTTTCAAGCACCTCTTAATTACTCGAACTTGACTTGCTAAATACAAGATACACATCAACCACCTATGACAAGGTTTAACCTTGACCCCAAATCAAACAGTCGGCAACCACTTGCTGACTCGCCAGAGGAGATACGTGAAGGCGGGCGGCTCCACACATTCGATATTGGGCGAGTAGTGAGCGACCGTGGATGTGTTGTGGATGAGTTGCTCGCCGACGAACATTCGGCTCTCACCCTACCTACCGAATATCGATCTTTTAGACACATCAAAGGAAGCGAATATTCGCTGAGCACATCAGAAGCTCAGGATTGGGCGAGCAATCGCCACTCACCATTCGGCGATTGATTGATTGACGGATGATTGATGGATTGATTGACTGATTGGTGATTCCGAGCGCGTCAACTGCTAAGGTCATTAGCCCCGTTAGTGTAGTGTATGTTTTCATCGCAGATGTTGGCTGTGATCTTCCCACACTTGGTGGCGAGATACGGCGCCAACCCGCGTCGGCTTTAAAGAATTTTCCCCAAACAGGTATCTCCCACCAGTGAGGCACCACCCCCGCCGAGACAAGCAGTAAGATTTTCCGACAAGTATCAACATGAGAGTAGGTGTATGTAAGTAAGAGTGAGGATAGGATAAGTAAAAGGAAGGAAAGATCGCGCGCGGCGCGTGACCCATTGGGTCAGTGCTGCAGTATTCGCCTGGTGCTGATCGGAGAAACTACGGAAAAATATCGATCAGAGCAACCGACCGCTCTAATTATCCTACAGGCAGCGGTCAAATTCGACCTCACTATGCAGTGAGGGTCTAAATTCCTGCCACCGTATGGAGTGGAACCCTAGTACCCTCTGGTCCGAGGCACGACAGGTGGCATCCGTTGATCCTGTGGGCCACCTTGGCCGGTGCGAATGCCGAGTGTGTGGAGCCTCCTGAAAGTGAGGAAAACTCTGCAAGGCGTCGACGTGTATTAGGACGCTAGGCCTCACATACCACCGGTAACGCCACCACCCCGAATATAACATACTCTATCAATAACTTTCTCTCTCGTCCTCTCTTTCTCTCTTTTCCTCTCTAGATATTCCTCTGTCTTTCTCTCTCTGTCTTCCTCTCTCTCTCTTCGTCTCTCCCCCTCTCTCCCTTTCTCGCTTGCACTTCCTTTCTCTGTCTTCCTTTATTTACTCGTCCTTTCTCTCTCTTCTCTCTCTCTCTCTCTCTCTCTCTCTCTCTCTCTCGCTCGCTCTTCCTTTCTATCTCGTCCTCTCTTTCCTCTTCGTTTCTCTCTTCTCTTTGCGTTTCTTTCCCCTTCCTTTCTCTCTTCTCTCTCTTCGTTTCTTTCCTCTTCCTTTTTCTCTTCTCTTCCTTCTATTCTTTCCTATTACTTTCTCCCTCTCACTCTTTCATTCTCACTTATCTTTCTCTTTTTATTTTTCCCTAACTCTCTCTCTCTCTTTCTCTCTCTCTGACTCTCCACGGCGTCAGTCACTATGGCGGCAGCTCCCAAATGTCCCCAGCAGCGGTAGCTTCGGGGCGCAGGATTTTTTTGGCAAACGCCGACTAAATTAAATAGATAAACCGAAAATGTGTGTAATGCGCGAAATAAACCAGAATAAGATTCATGAACTTGTGGATTCTAAGATACTTAACTTACATTAACATTCGAAAATCCAATTTAGCACTTCCTCTGCCCATTTCCAAGTCGACGGCAAGGTTCCGGCTTCCATTATTCGGATTTAACATTATTCATTTTTGAGGCGAGCAAACGCATTATACAACACATTTCGACTTACTCTCCTCGCGTATATACTGTAACTTTTGACGCTACTTAAATACGCTCATGCGCGCATTAAAAATCGCCGACAGGATGCAATGGTTTCAGCAAAGCAGTTTTATAAGAAGATCCAATCAGTCGCAAGGGATCAATACACTAGTATTCATAAATGTCAGAACTTATGTATATGGTTCATTTAGGATGAATATATATGATGCGGATTATATAATTCAAACTACAAATCATTTGAACAACGAAAAAAAAAATCAAGTTGACTGCAACCATTTCGAGGGCAATGAAAATAAATGAGTTAATTAAATAAGCGCATTCCACGCTGGTTTCGTTTATCCGTATGCTCGAGCTATTTGTCAAAAAACATTCGCCGAAGGGGCTCGCTGGAGTTAGCCGCAGCGTGAGCGGGGCATGAAGGAAGGGGTGAGAAGGAGGGAGGAGGGGGGAGGATCGGGGAGCAGGCTGGGCCGAGTGGGCATCGGCGGAATGGAGTTTGACGGAGTGGGGATTGGCTGAGGGCAGAGCGAGGACGAATCTGCATTGCAGATGAGAGCTCCGTACCTGCCGTCGCCCATGTAGTCCTCACCTTCTCCTTCAGGTATGAAACGTCTCAACCGGTATCTGCACCCTCTCTTAGTCTTGATGTAGACTTTTTTTTCTCTCACATCCATCGCCTCTAAAGCTTACTCCTTGCCACACTATCAATGCTCAGAATTCATCATGGTCTAAAAATCAATTGGTAACCATATATCCCTGCTGCTATCTACTGCAATTGTAAACAGCAAAGTGCTAAAGCCTACTGTTTTACCAGCATAACAGGCATCACCTTCATTTCCTACCTTCCCATGCTCATATCTTCGTCATCTTCAAATCATCGTCAGTTTTACCTTCTCATATTTACCGGAATTTTTGCAAACACGGTTCCTATCGTAATAGACATCACTGCCACTGCTTCCGCCATCACCAAAATCTCCGCCACCACCATCGCTACAATCGCCATCTCCATCACCCCCACCACCGTAACAGCCAACGCCATTACCGCTGCCGCCACCGCCACCGCCGTACCACCACCCTACTACCACCCTATCACCACCCTACCACCACCTCCGCAAACGCCACTTATACTTCCACCGCCATCGCTACCGCCTCTGCCTCTGCCCCCTCACCCACCACACCACCACCAATGCCGCCACC